ACCTTTAACACAGTTTTCCACTTGCAAAATCTAACAAGGTACACATATTTGATAGTACTGTTGACAAACAGGTCATAAAATCCTTAAAGCGCTGACCTGTTAATCTAGCCTCTTCTTGGCATTTACAGTAAGGTTAAAGATAAATGTAAAATATTACAAACAAACCAAAAAAATGCCTTTAGAAGTAGAAAAAAATAAAATAAAATCAACTTAGTTATTTAGTAGTTTGTTCTCTTGTAATATTCATCATCAAATCGCAGCATTGGAGCAACTTTAGAGAAAAGAGGCGAGTTTCCAAAGAAAATTGGTATCTGGATGATCAGTCTGTCGCTGCGCTTGCTTTATCGGCAACGACGACGCTGTGGAGTCAGGGACAGTGAAGGCGCAGCAACCGTCTGAGCCACAGAGGGACAAAGAAACACTTCAGCTAACTGCCTTTACCCTGATCATCCCACATTCTTAACGAACAGCTTTAAAAACGTCAGTGCAGATATGTTTTTAATCAGCTGAAGCGTTTTAAGAGATCGCTCGGCTCGTAAAGTTGATGATGTAATCTGTATTGAAAACCTAAAAAGGAGCCCAAATGTGACAGTGATAAAAAAAAATAATAAAAATGTCCCCAAGTTTCGTGCCACTGACATGAATGAGTTGAGCTTTTCAAGACAAGAAATAAAACGCAGCTGCAAGTAACGATTAATTTTGTCATTCATTACTTGGATAAAAAACACTTGGTACATTCTGAAGATTTGTCATTAAGGAATTGTATATGGTATTAGAAATACATAGGATGCAAATTAACAATTTAATTCCTTTTTTTAAATATGAAAATAAACATTTTATTACCCAAAATGGAAGAGCAGCATTGCTTTTAGGGTATCGGTGATCATTTGTAGCACAAGATAGTACTACTTCTAAACTCAGCTCTGTCTGCTTGACTTATCGAGACAGTGTGGGGTAAATTTGTACTTTATTTTTTGGATTACAAATTAATAGCAAAATGTGCCTAGCAGAATTTTTGTTTGTTTTGATTTGTTTTACACAAACTGAACCTGGTGAAGTTAAAACTTTGCCACTTGAGTAGTTTTGGATAGAACATATTTACTAGCAGAAGGTTGTTTTTTTTATATCTTAAATACAAAATGTACGTATTTTTTGACATTTTTGGCTTATTTACTGCTCTTAGTATGTTGTTTTATTCTCTAAATGGCCTTTTTTGAGTCTGTCTACTCCATTAAAGGATTAATTGATTACTAAATTAGTTGACGATTATTTCAATAATCTGTTAATCACAATTAATCGTTTCAGCCCTAAAATAAAATGCAGTCTGTTATCAATTTGCAATTACATAAAAAAATGAAGAACACGTATGATAAACACTCTAATATTCTGAGATGATTTGGTCAAACTATTAACATAAACTATAAAGGCTGAGCCTTTAGCAAAAGGGGCGATGTTTGTGATGGATACAACATCCCCCAGACTGATTTAAATAGGTCGTTTTTGACAAATGCCCTTTCTGGACCCAAAGAAACATGGATGAATGTTCTACAAGTTACCATGGATCAGTTACTGATGTCAAAGTACACCAAGTGCTTCAAACTTTTTTAAAACCGCTAGCATATCTTCTCTCTCTCTCTTCCCATTTCCCATCTGAGTACTTCAAATATAAGCCATTAAAAGCCCAAACACCTGTCATGATTTTTGTCACACTAGAAATAATACACCTTTTCCCAAGATGTATAAAGCATAGAGTAACTCCCCCGCATATTGCTGCTCACTGCCAATCAGCTGTTATTAAAAGTAAGGTCCTGACATACAAAACAACAAGAACATACACTGTGTGATGCAAATTACAAGCTGTATTATCCTTGAAATGCTGCGATTTTACTAGATTTTTATGTTTGAATTTGACCCGTCAGACAGAAAATGAAACTCTGGAGTTTTAACCACGGCGCTCACAAGATTGTGTTCGGCTGAGCCTGCCACTAAGCTTCTGATGAAAGCGGTTCTTATGAGGCTGGGATGACACTGGGTTTGTTAAGAGAATGTTTTCATGGTTGGCCATTATGTTTTTCATTTTATGAAGCATCCTTCTTTGTACAGTATTCTCTAGAGTGGACCTCAGAACTGAACCAGCCTTCTTTATCAGCTAGTTGAGTTTATTTTAAGTCACTGGCTCTGCTGCTGCCCCAACAGATGATGGCAGAAGAGATTAGCATAGATAACTACTAACATGTTGTATCACTATGTTAGCAGGGAGAGGAGTATTCGCTGCTGTTTTTGTAAATACATGCAATTTGGTCATGTATTTAATTATAAGCCTGACGGGCCACCAGGCTTTACTTGTGCACCACCAGGCTTAGGACTGTTTATTTATTTTAGTTTTTTTAATGATTGCCTTTTTAGATGGTGTTTAGGTGTTAATTTTCCAGTCTTCTAAAAACACACAACTACCAAGTGATATTTTCAAATTTCCTGTTAACTTTAAACATTTTTTAACTCAAAAACATGGCGGCCGACTGGATGACTACCCTAGCACCCCGTAGAACTGGGCTTAGCAAGTTTTCTGGGGGAAACCCTGTTACTGTTTTAAATCTTTGTGCAAAAACTGACTATGTGTTTTTATTGTGGTTTTTTTTTACACTGGGAAAGCTTATGATGAGAATTTAATCTCAGATAAAGCCTCATAGATAGTTTATTAAAAATAACTGTCACTATGCGAGTCAGATTCAGGGACTAATTTTTATGTTACAGCATTCTACAGAAAAGCAACTACAAACAATTTGAGCAGAAGAAAATCAGAAAAGTAGTAGCCATGAACTGATTATCGGTGTTATGGTATAAGAAAGGTATGAAAGCAGTTGTATGGAGAATAAAGTAGCACCGCATTGTTTCTCATCCGCCTGTTGCAGCACACTGCAGGTCAACTGGCTATTATTACACTTTTCAATCTCTAACAAAGACAATTAGTTAACATTGTGATACCTCAATGATTTTAATTAAGGTTTTCATGCAATTTCAATTTTTACACTGGTTAATCTCTACTGTAATAGCCAGATATCTACATTCAACTGAAATACAGACTGAAGACTGAACATCAATTTAAAAAAAAAATTAAAAAAAGATTTATGCACTTTAGAAATGTTTGCAAGCCCAACACTTAATCCCTGTTTATCTCTATTAAAAGCACATTTCTTAGTAAGAAATCCTTCAGCTTAGCAGGACATAGAAATATATATTTTCCCTTACTTTTTTTAAAGTCACATGGCAATCACGTTTTCTAAAACATGCTATTGCTTTCTAACTTTTTTGTTTTGTTTTGTTTTGTTTTATGGACTTTTTTTTAGCTGGATTTCTACAGATACTTAATTTTTCCCTACCTTCGCTTTTGAAATAAAACATGGGAGGAGATAAAAAATAAGTTGCAGGTATTCACCCTCCAATGCATCAGTTTAATAGCAGCTCCAGAAGGGGTTTGAGGCATATTGGGGTTGTAAACATAAATCTATCTCAGTGAAGCTTTAAGGTCGAATTAAAAGGGTGCAATATCACAATGGCTCCGTCAGACTGTTTCCATGCAAAGTGAGCAGGACTTGTGTAAAAAAAACAACAACAACAACAAAGAATAGGGTTAATGCTGCTACTGTCTTGTGTTTCTGTTGTCACTTAAAACGACATTATAACACATTTAACTGCAACTGGATTAATACCACATCATGATAGCGAGGGGGGATGGGACTGCTTTCACACAACAGGGAGCGTCTACAAAAAACGAATATAACAATAAATGTCAACTCATATTAGGGCGCTTTAAACGTACTTTAACACCATATTAGGACGTTTAGGATGTTGTTGTGGCTAGCTGGCTAACCCAGCCTGTATTTCACCTTAAACCACGTCGCCATCTTGCAAGGCAGATTTTCAGCGTACAGCGAGTCGCTTAAATAGTGTGTTAAGTACCGTCGCTGACTGGCTGCATGTAGGCCATATGTACTCACCCCATGTTTGAAGTTTGTAGAAACGGGAAAGAAAGGTAGCCCGTGCAGAAATCTGTTTGAATTGTTGATTGTAAATCCGCGGGTTGTGGGCTGTGAACGACTGAGCAGACTAAAAGGCTGCGCCGCATTTGTCGGTCGACGTCCTAACAGTGACGAACAATCGTTTTCGTTAAATTTTAATTTAGAATACTTAATAAATACCTAAATATATACGAAACGGTTGTTTGTATTAAGAGTAACATAAAATATTGCGCCTCTTTTCAGTTTTTGCTAATATTTTAAAACTACGACCCAATTGTTTTTACATATCTGTAAGGACAGTACAGTGTTACTCCTAAATCGTCCCCTCAAACACGGTAATGCCTAAGAGCTTTTAAAATGGTACTTTAAAAATAATCACCCACAGATATCAACAGTTAGACTCTTATTTTATGGACATACATCTGATGTTCTTAAATATCATAATTATATTACAATTTTATTCTTAAAGTTCTTCAGGCTTTTGTTAAGTAAAATGCGAAAGTAATTCTAATTGTGTATTTACAAAATAGCGACAAGTGTGGTACATGGTTACTTTTGCTGACAGACGAGTTTTTTAAACAACCGTTAAATGTATGCACTTTTTATTCTAATTTTTTTTTACACTCGGAACCATTGACGATTTGGAATTGTGTCCTTAGACGGACTGTTTACGGGGACGGTCAAAATAATGTATGTTTACCTAGTCCTCTTCGCTGTTTTATCCTATTTAGTGTGTATAAAATACATTTACAATCGACAATGGCACGCTTTGAGGAGCTCGCTGAAACGTACCTTCAACGTTTCGTCAGAAAGAAAAACAGTTGGCGCTGACGTCAGAGCTCTGGTTGTTACTGCGCATCCGGACGATGAATGCATGTTCTTCGCCCCAGCGATCATACGGCTAGTTGAATTAAACGCCAGCGTACACCTGCTGTGCTTGTCTGAAGGTATGAGAAAAGAAAACACTGATTCCCATTGATAATAACAGCAAGGCAGTTTAAAGTTAAGGGGAAACTGACTACGTATTTCATCTAGAATGTTTGGTTTCAGTTTTATCCACCCGTTCGGGTTTAGACTTTGAAGTAAATCTCCTTGGCCAAAAGACACAAAGGTTAAAGATAAACAAAGCATCACCTTTAAGATTGAAGCTATAGAAAAAGTAATCTTCAGGTTGAAAACATATTAACCTCATCTTCAAGGTGAGGTAATAAATAAGTAGGATGTAAAAGCCATAGAAAACTGGTATCCGCTTATGTTCAGTAACTTAATTTGTGAGGCAAGGGGACGGTTTGTTGAATGATGGAAAGCTAATTGGCACTATATTTTAATCAGACCTAATTAAATTGACAAACTGTCATTGAGTAGTATTATATAGATGTTTCGTAAACTTTATACGGGTGAGTTATACTTTTTTTATTTTTGATAAACCTGTGGACTCAACTTTTTCTGCAATTTTTGTGTACAGGGAACTACTATCATCAGGGATCTCAGCGCAGAGAAGAACTTCTCAGAAGCTGTGCTGTGTTGGGAATACCAGCCTCCAGAGTCACCGTCATAAACCATGAGTAAGCACAGGTTTGCAACAACATGCAACTCATAGATAACTGCTTTCACACTGGTAAATCAACGTTGTCTGTTTTGCACTATGAACCTGATTAACTTACTTGAACACTGTTATTTGATGGGGAAAAGCTTATTAAGAATTTTTTTAAAACAAAATTACTAATGGCAAACTTATGTTCTTTGTTTTTAGTTTGATCAGTGTCAAGAACTGTATTTAGTTATTCCTGACTTCCTATTAGCTTGGAGGCTATTTGTATTAATTGACACATGATATTAATACTAATATTAATTTCATCATTTTCCAGGGATGGATAAAAATGAAATTGATCTTAAAAAGAAAGTTTTAAAAAATCTGAATTTCTAAACATAATTTTTTAATCATTTACATGTATATTCCAGTGACACAATAACACTTTTTATTTATTTTTATTTTGATTAAAATAAAAACATGTGTCTATCTTCATCAAGATAGACTGCTAAGGGGCCAAATTTGCTTTATCTAGACTTCTAAAATCACCCAGAGCGTCGCATGTCGCCCTGGGCTATTCTTCAGACACCCCTCTGGTACAGATTATTGTACAAGCAATTTCAAGTAAATGTTTTAATAATAATAATAATAATAATAATAATAATAATAATAATAATACATTTTATTTGACAACGCCTTTCAAAACACCCAAGGACACTTTACAACATTCAAAACACAAGTTAAACAGTAAAGAAATGGCTACCAAAAATGTACTAAAAATTCCGGAATGTTATTAAAACTAATAAAAAAATATAGAAATAGGGAAATCTGCTTAAGTAAGGTAAATGTGCTGATTTAACGTTCTTTTTATATTCTAACCCACTATTATGGTCTCCGTAAGGTGGCGGGGCTTTCTGAGGGATTTCTTACCTGGAGGAAGATTGCTCTGTAGAATTAGAATGCTTTGGGATCCCTGTAAACAAGCTGACTAGAGGCATGCCTGGGTTTCAGTGCTAGATTTCCTAGATGCCCAACCTGATTGAAGATATGTATAAATGGATGGATGTTCTTTATTTAGCTCATTGCTTAGCTTCTTAGCACGTCTGCCTCTTTTAAAGCATCAGATTCTTTCCTGTAAGCCAGCGTTTGTCAAAACACAAAGCGCTGACCACAAATCCACAGATCACATCCTGGCATTCTGCCCGCAAGTGACCTCATTCTTTCTGAGCTGATGTATTATGTAAGGAGGTTGATAAGTCTGCCCTATGGGACACCAGATTCACCCAAAAAAAAAAAAAACTCCCCAAAGAAATCCCAACACCCATTAATCTATACACTCTTCTACTTCCTGTATGTAACAAAATATATTTTTATTTGTACATTTTTGTAAAATATTGTAAAGCAAATTTAAAAAGTGAGCTTAAAGCATAATTTTTTTTTTCATCTCAAGTTTGAAACAATAATTCTCTTGTGAAAGAGAATTTTCTCTCTCTCTCTCTCTCTCTCTCTCTCTCTCTCTCTCTCTCTCTGTTTAATGTGAATAAAATCTTCAGCCTGACTTTTAAATGTTTGGAGTTTCTCAGAAGCTCTGAGCTGCCTCCATGTGAGTCCCAGCATGTTGCCTCACCAGGAGAGCTGGATGAACTCTGACACTCACCTGGAACTCCCAGTAATGAGTTGGCAGCATTCCCAGACTGTCTGCCCCAAAGAACAACTGTGTGTGTGTGTGTGTGTGTGTGTGTGTGTGTGTGTGTGTGTGTGTGTGTGTGTGTGTGCTTGCTTCAGCACTCTTGCCCAGACCCCACCATTTTACCATCTTTTTGCTCACAGAATATAGCTGAACTTTGTTCTCCGAACTGTCTGCACTTCTGCTGAACCGGAGGGTGGCCCGTTTCCCCCTTTCCTTGTATTCCCTTGTTTGCCTGAAACACACACCTAAACACACACACCTAATCAGCACTTTGAGACGCCCGCTCACTCGCCACCAACTGGTCCCCCTTCCTCCTCCCCGCGTCCACGTCTGCTGAAGCCAACCGCCAAGGACTGTGGGATACATTGTGGCGACACACTAAGCGCTGCTAATGTAGGTCATTGCGAACTGTTTTTCTCTGCTTGTGTCTGCACACGGCCAGCCACACTTTGGCTTCGCTCCCGACCTCGCTCGCCGGTTCAAGTATGCTCTTGTTTTTCCATTGCTGTTCATTTTGTTCTGCCCAAAGACGGAGAGAGGACAGGGTAACCTTTAGTCCACATTGATTGTTAGAGTTGAACTGGTCAGTTTGGGGTTGTAGCTTTCACTGTAATGAGGTCATATATTTGGGCTGGTTCTCTATCCACGTGAAGGACAATTTAAAATCTTTCCTGAATCTGTAAAATAACAAGATTGGTCAAGTTTATTTGTAGGTTTTTTTCCTACCTTCATCCCTCTGTTGCTAATTTTTCTTTTTTGCATCTGCAACAGAAAAGTATCCCCACAGCATGATGATGCCACCACCTGTTTCAAAGTGGGGGTGACGTGATCAGGCTGAAGCGCAGATTTACTTCTCGCTCTCCACAAAGTTTTGTTTGTATGTCAAGAAGGTGCTGTGGTGGCTTCATCTCATCGGCTGTGCACTGTGGTTTAAAAACAAAATCTACAAGTTTTGAATATACCAAATTCAGTTTCTGATTTTAATAGATTTTTTCCCTCACTTTTTCTTCCTTAAAAAATGACAAATGACAGAATATATCGTAATAAACTGACTTTTATTTCCATAATTCCTTCTGCAAGTTGACCTGAAAAGAAATAGAAGCTGTAAAACACATTTGTCAAAGAAGATGAGCTTTGGTTCTCTGCAGCTCCTCCAGAGTCACCATGGGCCTCTTGGCTTCATCTCTGATTAATGTTATCTTTTGGTTGGTTGTACTGGATTTTATTTAGTGGTTACTATAATATATATGTGTTGAAATGGTTTTGTTTGTTGGAAAAAGTAAAGGAAAGTATGAATCATTTCCTTCTACTTTACACCTAACTACCACTTTGCACTGGCCTGTCACATAAAATACATTGACCTGTGCTGTTGTTACACGGCAAAAATGTAAAAATAACAAGATTAAGCTGGTGTGAATACTTTTTAAAGTCACTGCAGATCAAACAGGTGACTCCACCTGTATTTGTAATGGAGACACTAACTCAGACAGCTGCTGCAGCTCAACAGTGGAAGCCCTAGCTGTCCTCTGTGCTGCGCTGCGTTGTTGATGAGGGAGGAGTTCGGGTGGTTACATGGCGACAGATCTACTTAGTCAGACAAGCTCTCATGCAAATACAGATCATTTCTTCGATGCGACAGGAATAACACTGGAGCTCCATTTCAGTATGGCAGTTTAATGGCGATGGGACAGCTGTGTTGACAGCATGAGGGTTGGGGGAGGCCGGCGGCACACCGGGGTCTCTGCGATCAAATTCGATCTGAGCACGCTCTGGTGCCTCCTTGCTTGCCCGTGCTTGACCTCTGCCTGCTCTCTGGGCTCGATTGTAGCTGCTTGCTGTGTAAATTCCGCTGCCCCACCGTCGCATTGTCCATCAGACTGAACTTCTATCAATGCCCGTCTCTGACTCTGACTGCTGCTATGCTTCAAATCTTCTCTCGCTAGCAAATCAAAAACTGGACGCTGTGGTTTTCAGTAGGATATGTGCAAACCTCTGCAGAGATATAAACATCAAGCATGATGTTTTTCTGAAAAAAAAAAAAAAAAAGAAGCCTGTCATGAACTGCCAGGTTTAAATAAACACTGATCAGTGTTAAAAATAACCAAAGCTGATTTATACTCACCTGGTAGTGGGTGACAACTAAAAACAAAGAGGCTGAACATGTGTAAATTTGTTTAGGGCACAACTGACATGCAAGTTATAATTTTTTCATCTGGTGTTCGTCTGTATCCCTCCCTCTTTTTAGTACCGCCCTGAGCAACTGCCCATATGAGCTGGGAAGGACTCTGCAGTCCAGTACTCATTTGTTTCGAATCTTACATAAAGAATAGGGACTTATTTTTGTCAATAGGGGACTTCTCATTGGAGAGGACAAAAGTAACGTGGGATTTTCTGGTTCTGGTCTGCTCTGCATCCCCAGAACCAGAACCAGAACCAATCATGGAGATGTGGCATTCAGCTTCTGTGCACCACAAATCTGCAAAACTGTAAAACAGATAAAAACTGAGTTCCTTTAAATCAAGGCTATAAAACCCCACCTGTTTAGCATTGCTTTTGAACCATAATAAATGGCACATTGACCAACATGCCTTTTATGTATTGATGATTTTGATGATCTCACTGGTCAGAATGTCATATTTGACACTGGTTTCGCAATTGTCGACTGTTCTTTAAGAATTTTTATTTTTGTGTTTTTATAATGTAAAGCACGTTGAACTGCCTTGTTGCTGAATTGTGCTGTTGAAATAAGAGTGATTGGTTAGTTAGTTTGATTGATTGATTCATTGGTTGATTGATTGATAAATAACAGTCATTAAGCATCACATCCATGCTTCTTCACACATGAATGTTGACATGTAGAAACTTCCTGTCATAACTACGGCACTAATCCCATAGCTATTTATTGGACATGTGTGAAGAGTGGTAAAACCTGCAGGCCACGAGTGCCATGTAAATAATGAAACAACATATGTCAGTTGCCTTAGCTACCGCAGCCGCAGCCTCCTTGTTACAGTGGCTTATTGTGGCTGTTCTGTCAGCGTGCAGTGGCATCTCGGCTGTTCCCAGCAGGACATATTATCTGACCTCATGGACAGAAGTCTGGCAGCTTCACAGGCCTGTCGTCCATGTGACCAGACAAAACAAGTCCTCTCTAACACACACACACACACATACACACACACATACACATACACATACACATAGAATCCTTTTACTGGGCCAAAGTTCAACAACTGCGTACAGATGCCTGCAAGCAATTAGGCATCCGCATGCAAAGCTACAAAGAGGATCTGGCGAGGTTACTTGAGGACAGTTCGTCCTGTTGCCATGGTGAAGCCGACAGCCTGCATCCGGCAGGAGAAAGGTCAGGTGGATCTTGCTCCTATCTATCTATCTATCTATCTATCTATCTATCTATCTATCTATCTATCTATCTATCTATCTATCTATCTATCTCATTTAAACGATCAAAACAATTATTTGTTTTGGCTACTTAAGTTTGAACTTTTTTTCCTTTCTGCCAAGTCACAAATGCAAACTTAGTTGCATTTTGTTGAGATTTTACATAAAGAACCAACACAAAAATGGCAACAACAAAAAATTATGAAGGGCAGTCATATATATATCTTTTTTTAAATTGAAATCTGACGACTGTTTTGTGTATTTTCTTGACCCTTGAATAATATAGAAAGTTAGGTGTATTAGGTAGAAAATGTTCTAAATGCATGTAATTAAATTTGACTATGAATTCAGATGTTCTCTGAAGGCCATAGAGGTTTGTTAAAGAAGGACAGCAAACACAGAGCATCATGGAGACCAAGGAACAACGCAGACAGGTAGAGAGTTGTGAAGAAGTTGAAGACAGGGTTATGGGATAAAGCCATACCCTAAGCGTGAACAGTTCTCAAAAGATTATAGAGAATCAGTGAAAAGTAACACTGCTCTGGTGAGATAATCAGTTCACAGCTATTTGTGGTGCGCTCTGAAAATGTTCTCAATCTTAAATGCATATGAGTGAACTCCAAGTATCAGACAAGACAATCATGCTCTGAAACCATAGAGATAGGGGAGTAAGTGTTTATTTTTCAACAAAAATATACATTTAAGTTCACGGCAGCCTAATGAAATTGCTCTCGGTATAATTTTAAGTATTTCCAGTCAGTGACATTATTTGAGGTGATTTTAAAGTGTACGATTTTTTTCAAAGTTGGGCTACATTAGCCAGCGTTTAATTATTTTGTGTTACCATGCAAAGTAAAAAAAAAGAAAAAAAGTATCTGTAGCCATTTTATAGCTTATTTGAGGTTTCACAATTCAATTATTTAATTTCATTTTTATAAATTTGTATAAACTCTCAGACTTTATTATCAGCTTCAAGGGTTTTATTTGTCAAAACACAACCACAACCTCTCATTTCCCAGCTAAGTGCTAGCTTGTGTTGGTCTGCCTTGTAATAGCTGAATAACCCGTTGAGGTTTGTGGATGTAATGTGACAAGATGTGAGTGGTGTGAAAACTTTTGCAAAGGAGCTTGGTTTGTGGGTTCAGGGTGCTCCTATTTATTTGCTTTCATTTAGTTTCAGGTTGGACAAAAGCAGACATAACCTGATGCCCAGGCCTCATTATTAGTAGGTCACTGGTATCAAATTGTCAGGGCATTGCATTCAGTCCATGATGGACAGTTTTAAACTATCTCTGAACCCTCATTCCTCCTCGCTGTGGCATTCATAGCCCCTTTCCCCGAATGCCTGACCCCCCATGGCCCCGGCAGCCAATAGAAATGTGTTCTAATCCATCACTTCCCTCTGTGACCTCCACTGTCCTGGCTCTTTGTTAGCAACAAAAGACAGGGAGACAACTGCTGACACGAGGCCACCCCTGCAGCTCACCAGCAAGCAAGGCTGCAGCTCACACCAGATATTATATATTTAATTGTTTTTATTCTCTAAAAACTTCCCCAAGTAAATATAGACTGTCATTTGTAGCCCAAACGTTTTCATTCTTGTTATGTTTCAAACTCTGGCCTAACATGGAAAATCTTTGGCAATGTACGCAATAACCTCAGCACTAAATCCTTCTCCTTATCTTTTAAAAGTTTACAGCTACACTCTTCCTTGCAGATGTCAGCAACCTTTTGTGGTTTTTATCAGCTGAAAGCAGAGAAGTGAAAACAGCATTCGCTCCATTTTTAATTCAAGCCTCTGGGTTTTTCCGTGTCAGCCAAATTCATCGCTAAGCAGATTTGAAGCCCCTTTGCTCTTATTTATGTGTGTGTGTGTGCGTGCGTGCGTGCGTGCGTGCGTGCGTGTGTTTTTTTTTCCCTCTTGAGTTTAGGATGTTGGGAAACACAGGAGATCAATACTCAGCGTTGTATCTCAGCAGCAAAAAACGGGGATTTGTGAATGTTTAGTAGGTCAGCAGGGTGGGTTGGCCAATCTTGATGTTTGATTTGTGCTTTGTGTCGCCTCCAGGCTGCAGTTTCAGATGAAGGAGAAGCTACAAGGCTATCGACCCTTAACCTTTGAACTCTTCAGTACTCAGCCATTTTTGCACCTAACAAAAGCTCACTTTCTAAAGCACTGTTAAAGAAAAAAATTGAGCTTTGGACAGAAATAACTTATCGTACTTTTGAAGTTGCAAAAATAAAAGACTTCACACTTGAAATGGGACTTCTGTACTGAGATGCATTTCAGACTGCAGCCTGGTTTTTACAGTGAAAGAAAGCGCCTTATTATTAGCCAGTGGCATTGGTGGAATATGGGATGTTTATGGCTCATAACACTCTGCTAATGTTAGCTGTAGCTTCACAATAATCACCACATAAATGTCTCTCCACCTGAATGTCGTATTAAATGATTTTGGATTTAATACAACAGAATACAAAAAACTCACCAGATATTCACTCGCTCTTAAGCTAGATGCTAACAGAAGGACACTTCCGGCTAAAAATATCAAAATAAAAGTACTTCCTGCTTCCTTCATTCAGATGTTTAACAGTCATTTACTTACTAAACTTTTCCTAGTAATAGTACCTAATATTCTAACTTTACTATTTAGAATTGAGATAAAAGGTTTTAAATGTGGACTTAGAGAATGGCTTCCAAATGTTATTACAAATTAACTTTCTGAAGCAAAAAATACATATTTAGTTCAACGAAGGAGTGGAAAACAGGAGCTACTTATTCACTATAATGGCACACGAGCAGATCGCTTAATACAGAAATTCTACATTTATAAGTTTTAATTATTTTTTCTTAGCTCATAAATGTGAATTTATGTTTCTAAAAGGATGAACATATTACATTTGAACAACTTCAAAAATAATATTAAAAAAGCACATTTTTGGATGCATTGATAACTGCAAGCCAATTTTTACATTTTTTTACATTTTTACAATCGGCCCTTCTCCACAATCTTCCTCAGGGTCCGGTCACCTCTTCTCGTTGTGCAGCGTTTTCTGCCACACTTTTTCCTTCCCACCGACTTTCCACTGAGGTGCCTTGATATAACACTCTGCAAACAGCCGATTCGTTCAGAAATTTCTGTTTCTCACCCTCTTGCTTGAGGATGTCAGTGATGGCCTTCTGGACAGCAGTCAGGTCAGCAGTCTGACCCATGATTGCGGTGAACCAGGCTGGGAGTTTTTAAAGGCCTCAGGAATCTTTTTCAGGTGTTTAGAGTTACTTTGTTGATTCAGATGATTATTTTTATTGCTCGTTCAGAGAACCTTTTCATAATATTCTAATTTTTTGAGACAGGGATTTTGGGTTTTCATGAGCTGTTTGCCGAAATCATCAAAATTAAAACAATAAAAGACCTGAAATATTTCAGTTGGTGTGCAATGAATCTAATTTTTATCATGACATTATGGAAAATAATGAACTTTATCACAATATTCTAATTTTATGACCAGCACCTGTGTGTGTGTGTGTGTGTGTGTGTGTGTGTGTGTGTGTGTGTGTGTGTGTATATATATATATATATTGGAGCTCTGGCTGTATGTTTGGTTCCATTGTTCTGCTGAAAAGTGAAGCACCGCTCCAGTCTTTTCCAGCATTTTTCACAGTTCCAAATGATGCATTCAATGTAGGCTTTAACACAATATCTTTCTTCTTATCTGGTTTCCATAAAAGCCAGATTTGATCTTTTTTTTTTTTTTTTGCAAAACAGGAAGGCGGTGATGTGTTTGATCTTGTTGATAATCAAAGTCTCCTTCTCCTTTTTTCTTTTTTTGGCCCACTACAGAAAACTTCCAGATGATCCCAAAGCCGAATGGAGCGTCTCATTAATCTCCTCTGCAGTACTGAGGCACATTACAGATCACTGCATCAACATGGTAGGTTCACCTCTGAGTAAAGCTCTTATAATTTCCCCTTTGTTATTTAAAGTTTCTCAACCTGTTGTTTTATATTATACATGTGTTTTGGCGCCCCAGTTGCCCAATTCATTATCCCCGTTTGACTGCGGCGTGTGTAATAATCCCTCTTAGCCACGCCCACTCTGCATTTTTAGCCCTGGAAAAACAGAGGAAATGGCCTTTGCTGCAGCAGAAAGTCGAAATCTGTTTACACATAGATTCTTATCGGCCGCCAGCACAGTTCCGTGCTATTAGCTAATGGGAATGCAGTAAATTTAGAATCATATTCTGCTTTTTCCACACATCTGGTTTATATCAACAAGAGCTTAAATCGGAATTACCCCCAACCAAAGACAACACGGGAGCAGGAGAACAAGCTCTTTTTTGTAAGATTGTGGAAGTGCAATCAGGCTCCCTTGACTAAAGTAGACAAACAAACACACCGTCTCCTCCTATCCTGTCCAGCCCAGCTGTTGTAAAATGCAGCCCAAAAGTGGGCAAAAGACTCATGTTAGTCACACAGAAAGAAACATCTGTTCTGAAAATCCAAAAGTGGTAATATCGCTTCTTCAGCCTAGTACATGGTTGTTCTCTTGTTATGCAGTCAAAATGTATGTCTTGCTCATTATTTATGACCTCAACAGTCCCGAAAAGCCCAAAATTTAGACTTGCAACAATAACCATCTCTGAAGAGCCCTGAACACACCAAACCCCATGGTGAAACATAATGGTGGCAGCGTCATGCAGTCGCGAGGCTTTCTTCAGCTGTGTCAGGAAAGTTGGTCAGAATTGATGGGAATATGGGGTGCCGGGGTGGCGCAAGGGGTTAAGCACAACCCACATAAGGAGGCCTTACTCATCAACCCGGCCGCCGCAGGTTCGATTCCCAGCCTGGTGACCCTTGTCGCATGTCTTCTCTCTCCCTCTTTACCTAATTTTCTGTTTTTACACAAGTCATGTTTTCAAATTTATCTTATTGAACAAACAATGGAGAGCATAGTATCCCGACAATATGGAGAGTTTTGGGGGATTTTAACCATCATTAATAGGAATTTGTCATATCAATAAAAACAAACGATCAATAATAAACAATACGATAAATGCCTACCCCTATTAGAACAGTCTAATGTCCAGACCGAGATCCACAGATGCCCTGTCTTCAATCTAACTAAGTTTGGGACAGATTGAGAGGAGAAATGATCAAAAAACTCCAAAAGACTCGCAGGTGTAACTGCAACAACAGACAGTTCTTCCAATGTATTGCATTGTTCATATATGTTTGTTTATAAAAGCAATTTAAAACTATCTGAAAACCATTTGAATATTTCTTACATGTCTGTAGATTCATGAGCGTAGGAGAGTTTAGAGTTTGCAGAGAAAGTCATGGTACTGTAGACCTGAGCACAGCCGCTCACATCTTCAGTCATGCGCCTTCTGCTCTCCCTTTGACCTGATTTTTTTTATTTTTTTTTGTCCTGTTTCCTCCCGTGGTGTTCAAGTATGCACAGAAAAACACTCTGAAATATCTGGCTGTCAGCTGCCATGCAGCTCCATGGTCAGGCACCAGCAGGCTTCCACTAACCCCAACATCTTTTCTTTTTATTGTTTTGGTTTCTTTAACTGTACTCTCAGATACCACCAATTTTCTTTATTTTTTTTACCCAAACCTTGAGCAATTTTGTTGTTCCAGGTGCTGACCTTTGACGGAAGAGGTGTGAGTGGTCATGCCAATCACGTAGCCATCTATAAAGCTGTCAGGTAAGGACTGGCCCTGAAGGACTTAGCCAGAAGAACAACTCTGGCAACCACCAACGCTAAAACCCTGAAAGCAGTCCGCTCCGCAGTCATAAAAGTCTTTCCAGGAAAATGCAGGAAATTTGGACTCACAACAACAACAGCCATCCCTCTAACTGCTTCCCCACAAAAACACACACACACACACATGCATATAGACCATGTTTTTAAGAATTGGTCTGTTACATAGCTGAGAGGTCATCCAAACAGAGTCCTCTGAGGCACTGGGCTTGGCTCCTAGCGAGCGGCCGTAAATTCTGTCCCCTGAAGTGGTGAAGAGGGAGGGAGAGGAGGGCGGCTTGGGTTTGGAGAGGCCGCCTCCAGCCAGACTGTTGGTTTAAAGAAATGTGTTTGTGAAGAGTAAATCAAAATCCCTAGAAGGCACTTGGATCTCTTTCTAACAACCGGCTGCACCTTCACGGTTACGGTTCTCTGTTAGCCTAGTTTGTCGTTCTAAAAAGTGAGCCCTATAAAACGCCATCTCATGATTCTCATGAGGCTAGAGCCCAGAGGGAGTGTGTGTTAGTTTTACGCTACTCAGGATCTTAGTGTTTTGCTCATTTGTAAACAGATTACAGAGAATAAATGTGTGAAAAAGTCAGCACAGTTGGAGGTTTTCATGAATACCATCAACATAAATGCAACTCATGCAAGTTCCTGTGATATGAACACTAAACCTTCTTGTTTTCCCTTGCAGACATCTTGCTTCTACTGGTGAATTGCCTAAAGGTAAGGTGTTGCATAAAGACAACTTGTAGAAGATTGACATGTTTATTGAAGGCTCTGGGAAGTCCAGCAGAGACTGGATTGGCTGATCTTTGCCTATTTAATGAGCGTTTAGCGCCCTCTTCTGTTCAAACACGTTCAACAATCTTCTCTCTGCTCCACTTTACTTGCAGCCAGTTTGGCCTCAGTAGTTGTGCGCTTTCAGATTCTTCCTCTTCTCGTCATTTTCAGAAGTTTCCATAGAAGCATCATTGCCTTTTAGTTTTACTTTTGTTTTCCTCGAAACATTTCTAAAGAGCCACCGGATGGGAAATTTCCTCGAAGACTGAAATGAAAGCTTTTGTGTTCTACTTAGTACACAAAAGCATTAAAAATAAAAGAGATAATCGAAGAGTAAAGAAATTTAGAATCCTGCAAAAGTATTCGTGTCCCTTTCAATCTTCTACATTTTGTCACATGACAACTACAAATTGCTTGCTTGTTTTTCTATATTTCCTTAATTATGGGAGATCTGCGATTGGCCGATAATAACACATGAAACCGCCACAAAAGTCTGAAAATCAGCCACTGTTCCCTTTTGCTCTGCTGTGAGACAGGGCTGACTGATGGCTCACCAGGTCACTTCTGCAGGTCCGCTGTTAACAGTAGTTTCTTCACTGTTGCAAACTTAGCAACTTTTCAGACAAAACAACCCCAATCTGCTCCAGTCAAAATCAGAATCAGTAGGTCCCCGACCTGGTGACTTTATGACTGACTCAGAGCAGAATATACCAACTAGCTTCCACGCTACCATAGCAGAAAATCTGTCTATTCCAGGAAGAGACTGGCAATAAAATTTTCCACATTCTGTTAGCGCACAAGCAGGTGAGCCCAGTATCTTTACTCTCTTCCTGTCAGCCGTTCCTTTGGATTTAGCCACTCTATAGTTATTAAAATGACCAAAGGTAAATATCCCTCTGTCCTTACTTATTTTTAGCTAAGAAAAAGAGTGAAAATTGTTGTTTTCCTTCCACTTAAACACTACTATGTGCTGGTTATCACATAAAGATAAAAAAAATAATAATTCCCTGAATGTTCGTGGTCATTACAAGGTAAATGGTTCAAAGGACGAGAATAAAACTCTACAAAGCACCGTCTACTTCACCCTGACGACCTGTCCTGCTGTTGGCTCAGAGTGAAGCAGCTGACGATTAGGCCGGGTGATAACCCTCGCCATCAGGCTGTAAGGGGATCTCAGCTAATCTTGCTGCATGTGAGGGGAAACCGTCTGCGCCACATCAGCAGTCTGAGCTCTTCTACATGACGTATCATTTGAGCGCTGTACAGCACCTGCATACTTCTCATCTTAAGAACTTGAAAAGCAGGTTGACCTTGTTGTCTGCCTAAATACCGTCCACCCTGAGCTTTTAACATTACCAGCTGTCTGAGTCTCCCTTGTGTTTGCTCACAGATTGTGTGTTGTTCGCCCTGGAAACCGTAGGCCTTTTAAGGAAGTACACCTCCGTCCTGGACCTTCCCTTCAGCTGGTTTCTACCGTCACATTTTCACTGTGTTGTTGGTCCAAAGGGCTACAAGCAAGCCAAAGTAAGCCTTAGGGTGAACAGGTTTGCCCACAAGACGCGTCACATTGTATTTTTAGACTCCCACACCCTTTTAGTGCTTTGTGATATGAATATGCACTAGGAAACCATATTTTACAGCATGAAACAAGCTGTCAAAAGTATAAATGACACAATATTAGGCATAATCAGTCATTTTCTAATGTTCTCGTCATGTCCCTCACAGGCTGCCATGCTGTGTCATCGCTCTCAGCTTCTGTGGTTTCGGTATCTCTACATCACCTTCTCAAGGTACATGTTCACAAACACATTCCAGATCGTTCCACAAGGACCGAAGAATCTGAAGATCTACTGAATGTTCCAGCTTGTGACGGCGTGCCTATTGTTAACCTTTCAGCTTCCACATTTTCATGCGCAGTTGTTACAAACAAAGCGGATGACAGTTTTAATGAATCATGTTGTGTGTTTAAGAGACTCAAAGAATGTTGTCAGGACACTGTATGAAAACACTAAAGATTTTTATTGTTCTGTTTTTGATATAATGTTGATTAAAAAAAGCGGTTTTCAAAGTTGTGTGGCAACGGTTATTTTTACAGCATGTCCCCTTCAGGTTTAGACATGTCTTTGATGCTCTTGTGAGCTTGCATGCTTTCTTCCCACTTCTCCCCGCAAAACTTCTCCACGATGACGCTGCGCACAGTTCCTGGATCCAGACAGTGTGGAGCAACGCCTGAGGAAGTAAACAGGAACAGAAAATAGGAACTGAAAAACAACAACAACAAAAAACCGCTCATGTTCGGTATATTTCAGTAACACCTGGTTTTACCAGACGAGTTTATCGTTTAGTTTCAAGAGAATTTTCAGTTCCCAATATTTACCCCCCTATTATGATCATAAGATTTTTGTTTTGTACATATACTGTAGAAGTAAACTCTGGAGGAGTCATTTGGTATAAACACGTTCTTGTTGTGAAATAAGATGAGCAGGTCATGAGAGTAATGCAACCATCTCATGTCAATACTTGAGGCTGGGGTCTTACCAAATCCATCGGGATTGGATCGTGGTGTGTAGAAACTTTGAACTCCACAGGTTTTACAGAAGGTGTGCTTAGCAACATGAGTGTTGAAGGTATAGGTGGTCAGATTATCTACCCCCTACAGAAAAGAAGACACCACAAGCATTAAGACCTTTTCTCCTTTTTTAGATCTTAAGTAACCACTAACGTGTTTAAAGTAAACCGGTTACCTGTAAAAGAGTAAAGCGACTCTTCGGGACGATGAAATGGTGGTTTTGTTTTTTCGTGCAAACACTACAACTGGAGAAACTGATCAATTAGATTCATATTTTACAGTTCCTTGGAAAGCAGCGTCCAAGAACTTTTCCAGCCATTATCACTTTAGAAATATAACCTTTAAAGTGTTTCATTGAAACTTTGTGTGACAGACCAACACAGAGTAGAACACAGCTGAGGAGGATACGTGAGTTTTCTAAACTGGTACAAATACAAACCTTCAAAATGTGATGTATTTCTATTTGCACCCCGCCTTTGCAATGATACCCTTAAAAGCATCTGACGTAGCACTTAGAAGTCATCTAATTAGTAAATTGAGTCAACCTGTGTGTCGTTTAATCTCAATGTAAAGATCAAGAAATGTGATTGAGAATACACACTTGCAGTGAAACACATGGAGGTCAGGAGAACTCCAGACTTCAAATCTAACAGCTCCACAGTGGCATCCACCAGAGTGTTTCACAAGCTCCATTCTAAAAATAAGAGAAATAAACAAAACCATACATATATGAATTATCTATGTCCCTTTAGCCTTACTTTAGGTACATCAGGTAAATCAACTGTAGTCCATTTCCTCCATCACTTAGTCAAAGTTCAGTAGAAACTTTGTGACGTGTTTGTTGCGAAACCTGCTTACCTGACCCAACTAGAATATTCCAGTCGTCCTATCCAGAAAATCACAGTGAGCCTGATCAAAGTGCAACACTCATAAGTTTCACAATCACATAGAAGACCTTTCACCAAGATCAGATTTATCACACCTGCTGAATACGTTATTTTATGTGTGAACAGATCATTACAAAAGTAGCCTGTTAGATTGTACGTTCAGTATAAGGGCTAGGCCTAGTTCTTCCTTATGTGTTGTTTTCCTGAAACTCGTTGAGATAGCTGATAATTGCTTCCAGCAAGGGGAAGGGCAAACTACAGCCGACTTGAACAAACACATTCCTTGGAGGTTGAACCAGCTCAGCCTGCATGATGTTGGCAAGCAGTGATGTGTCAGATCACGAGTTCGGTGTCGTATGACATGGTCCCAGATGGGTGGGCTAAGGGAATGCTGTGACCCAAATACATAATTTATACATGCTCTCAGGTCAGTTATCCAGTCTGTGACCCAAAAATAGACACCAAGTAGGTTACAGATCCCCTTTTGAGCTTGCTGTTTTATATTATGTCAAACTAAAAATGGACTCTGCTTGTTGATTCTAAGATTTATTTTTCAAAGTCTCCATTTGTTTCTGTGACTCTACACAAGCTGCAGATGAAAAAGCTTAAAATATTAACCAAATAGTCCAGTCAATGAATGTTTCTATAAAAATTACTAAAGCTAGTGGCCAGCAGTCAATATGTTTGGAAAAAAGGTTCTTTCACATACATGTTAAAAATAGAAATTTATTCAAATGAGAAGATACTTTAGCTCAAGCTAAACAGATAAAAACACATCCTAATATAACTAGACTATAACATTAATATTGCCATAAAACGAACCGTGCATCATTAAATCCTACTATTTTCATAATTTGTTTGATTCCTCTGTCACAAAAATGACCTCGAAACAGATAAAAATGTATCTTTTTTCAGCGTTAAGTTTTGAGTTGCTACCGTTCACTAAGACATTTTTCAAGGTTAAATTTGAGTATATTTAAAAATGGCATACCTTCTCTATTACAACTGCTAAACCCAACATATTTTATATATTAATAGGAATCAGTTGGGTGAAACATCTGGAATTTTGCATGGTCATGTCCATGTGGTTATTACCGTACTCTGAGAAATGCAGTCATTCGACTTGATGGAAAAAAAAAACATATGTCGTCTTTTACTTCGTCTCATCGAAAACGAGGTCGCTGAAACCCTCATTTCACCGTAAAACCTTACATCTATCCAAAAAAAAAAACGTCAACAAAGGGCTGCATATAATTCCTAAATAAGTATGCGTTATAACTATCGAAAATTATGCTAGTCATCATACTTTACTTACTGTAACTCAGCAACCAATCACAAGGCAAACAAACATCACTGTTATCCAATCAGAAGAGAGGAGAAAGTTCTTGTTGTCGTGGCGTTTCTGGCAGATTCTGGAGAATGACCATTCACTACCACTAAGATATCATTCCGCAGCTGAAGAAAATTAGTTTTTCTTAAAATTTTAGCACATTTTTAAAACATCAAATATAATTAAACGTTAGGCTTTCAAAAAACATTACAGTACATAGTTATATTTTTATGGAAAGGGTTTATTTCAGGACTTTGAGAACTACTTTTGTATGCGGACTGATATGAATCTCTGGCACATAGCTCAGTATAAAAGACAGTGTCGAGCTTCAGACTGCAGCATTTCTTCAACAGGAGAAGACGGCGTTACTAGACGGCTACAGAATTGACTATTACAGTTTCGAAAGCTGTAAGTACATTTTAAGTACAATTTATGAAATACAATGTGTACATCGTATTCGTTTTTTACAAGTGAATACAATAATAGTAGTATTTAATATTTGTTGTTTGCTTTAATTCTTTTTCGAAGTGTAAAATTATGTCAGTTGAGGATAGTAACGTATGCCGATTTAATTTTGGCCGGAGACTCTTTGGTCTATTTAATTAAATTTACCGTTATTTTGTTCTCCGTTGTTTAGAGAGGCGTTTAGTGCTTGCCAGCAATGGCAGTGACTCGACATTTTGGCTTCGGCCATTAGAGGGGAACTGACGAACAAAGAGTCTATGAGCTCAAAATGGCGCTCGGGCTGTTAATGGTTGCTAAGGCGCGGTCGTATTTTTGAGAACATTCATGTATACATACGTGTGTATATATATATATACACACACACACACGTGTGTGTATATATATATAATTTCTTTTCTTTTGGTCTGATATCTTAATGTCTCATTATTTTTCTTTTTTTTTTATTATAGACTATTCTCTCACCAAATGTGAGAGTTAAGATGTGATGGCTTATTTCTTTCTCGTTGTTTTTTTTTTTTTTTTTGGTTTTATTATTGTAGGCTATTCTCTCAAGTTGTGGCCATTTCCTTTAACTTATTTTTTTTTCTATTCCCATTCCTTCTTTTAATTTATAAAGGTGGTGCAAGATGCAGATCTTTGTGAAAACCCTCACCGGCAAAACCATCACCCTTGAGGTGGAGCCCAGTGACACCATTGAGAATGTTAAGGCCAAGATCCAGGATAAGGAGGGCATCCCCCCTGACCAGCAGAGGCTGATCTTTGCCGGAAAGCAGCTGGAAGATGGCCGCACCCTGTCCGACTACAACATCCAGAAAGAATCCACACTCCACCTGGTCCTCCGTCTCAGGGGTGGCATGCAGATCTTCGTCAAGACCCTCACCGGCAAAACCATCACCCTGGAGGTTGAGCCCAGTGACACCATTGAGAACGTCAAGGCCAAGATCCAGGATAAGGAGGGCATCCCCCCTGACCAGCAGAGGCTGATCTTTGCCGGAAAGCAGCTGGAAGATGGCCGCACCCTTTCTGACTACAACATCCAAAAAGAATCTACCCTCCACCTTGTTCTCCGTCTGAGGGGTGGCCAGTAAATGATTCTAAAGAAAATGATTCCATGTTCTCTTAATTTGTTTCCTATGTCAACATTTAATGTATGACATGTAAAATTGCATAAATGTTACAATTTAAGTGACCAAAGTGTGTCTTCATATCACCTAATAAAAGGTTAAACTTATCTTTGTGGTGTGGTTCATTTGTCAGAATTAAGGAAACCATTCATTCCATAATATCCAAGTATTTTCCCCCAGTTCTATAAGAGTATCTGAATTTGCCTTTTGAAAATGTTAAAACTCTGACCATAAAATATTTAAATCATTAAATGCAAACTGTTAGTCTTTTCCTTTAGAATGTTAGCAGAAGTGACTGTCAAATTTATCAAAAGACTTAAATGTGTGTGTGATAAACTATGCAAGGATTAAACTTTTACTTTGGGTGTAATTTAAAATGAGTACATTTCAATGCTGCTCAAGTTAATGTTAAAGCAACTCTAGCTGTCAAGAATTCAAAAATGAAATGTCAATAGATGACTCAAGCATGATTAAAAATCACAATTTTCCACATTTTACATTTTTTGAAGAGTCAATTGGCCAAAAGGTTAAACGATTAGCTTTTTAAAGTAATATGGCATATTGCTGAAAATTGTTTTGTACTTTTTTTTGATCACTTGTTCAATTATCTCTCCAACACTTTGAACTGGTTAGGTGTTATCTTAGGCAGATTACTAACTACTTTAGTCAGCTGCTGGTCAGGCACACCTCCATTTTGTTAGTCACATCACAAACTTCATGTCGCATAACCAATGAGAGGTGGAATAGACATAGCTTTAGATAATTGATAGGTACAGTACATACAAGTTCTCCAGACTATTGAAATCATGTTACATGAATCTCACTATTGCTCCTTATAGCAAAACTGAAACCTAATTGCACATCTGCATATAATAGAAATTTTGAAAGGAAATTAACCAAAATCTCATTGTAGTGATGTGAAATGTGTTAATGTAGAATCAGCCAGTAAGTTTGTTATCCTATCAAGGAAATCACAAAATTCATTGCTACTAGGTTTCACAACTACGCTAAAATCATTTCACATTTGAATATTCTAATATCACTGGCATTCCTGTTCCTACATTATCTTAACATGCCATCATGCCTTTATAACTTCCAAAATGTAAAGTTTTAGTACCTTTCAGTTCCCCTTAAGTGGAACATTCCATCATCCCTAACCACAAGGGCATCCAAGGTTAAATGAGGCTTTGAGCTGAATTTCTCCCTTGCATAACTTTATTATATTTATATGGCTTGATCTGATGACAGAATGGTTTAATTTGTGAGCCAACAATCACTCAATTTACGTAGTGATTCATCAGTTAACTAATTTTTATGTCCAATATTCAATATGCTCATAAAACAGTGATTGGTTCTTGACAGAGCTGTCAATCTTGTTGCAAACTGTAAAATAGTTCTTAAGGTATGATTCAAGTACCAGTGGTACTTGGGCTGGTACTAGGAACAAATGTGGAACTTTGTTTGTTGTGATTTTGTTTTAAATTTCTTATAGATCAAAGTATCTCCCAATACTTGCCACATATGAAGTTTTAAAATGTTCAACATACCCAGGACTATATTCTGCCACGGTGAAGCATACAAAGCAGAGGACTTTAAAAAGGTTATATCACTTAATCTTGAACTGGTTTTTGATTACTTAAAACAGTGGGCATCATAAAAAAATTTAGATGTACAAGATAGCTAATCTGATGACGCTGCCAGGGCCGGTCCAAGCCTTTGGTGCCCTAAGCAGCTTTTTCTGGGAGGCCCCCATACCAACATGTCAACGCCAGATGATTCATAATTCCTAAGATGCTCTATGTATGTAACGTTTCTGCTTTTATTAGCATTATTTGTAATTAGCATATATTATACCAGTACTATTATGACTTGACTTCAACCTTAGAGGAGTAACAAATAAAAAATAATAATAAATTGGATTTTAAAATGCAGAGTGGTGTTTAAGTATGCCATTTTATTTTAACTATTTGAAAATAACATCAACTGATAAACACTAAATTTAGCATCCATTTCCCAACAGTGGCAGCAGACCATTAACAGGAAGAGATTAATCATTATTATCTATAAAAACAATAAAGTAATTATTGCATTATTAATGTTATTTTATATATATTTTTTTCTATCATGCTAGTTTGTTGCTCTTGGGGGCCCCATGGTGGCGTGGGGGCTCTAAGCAGCCGCTTACTTTGCATTGCCTTGGGCCAGCCCTGGAAGCTGCTGGTATTTGATTTAAGAGTTATTATGCTACTTGTTTTTGTTTTAAAGGGATCTGAACTGCATTTCATCATGTCAAGTTAGTTCAGGATGTAATATATTCCAAATCTGAACCGGCCCAATCTGGTAAGGTTTTTTGAATGGGATCCCCAGTTCTCAAAAATATTGTTAGAATCTCTTGTAAAATCAATGATATATTCTAGGCGGAGAAGTAGGGGCTCACCCAGGTTCGCATTCCTTTAATAACCACCACTGGTGGAGTTTGAGTTATAAAGGTTTGGCAACCACACGTTTAGAAATTTGATTTTTATAGCCTGAAATCTTGAAGTGCAACTAAATTTTGAGTGTAGTTCATTCATTTTAATACTGCTGTTTTGCGCACCTTTTTGAATATCATCTAATAGGCTCAGGGATTTAAATAATATGTATAAAACCGGGCTATGTAATAAAAGTAATTAATTAAAAAACGGTATACAGAAAAAAACTAAAACCAAAAAACGAGGACTATTTTCGTGGGCGGATGAATATCACTTGATGGGCGCATCGAGGGTATAAATGTGCTCGCCTCTTAGCAACAGCAGTCAGAGAGCGGAATTCGCCGTTTTTGAGCAATCTAGTGAACTAGCTGCAAAAAATTGTAAGTATGGTGTTTTGCGCTTTATGTTTTCTGTTACTATACAGTTAACTGTTTTCTTGAGTAGTTTCTGTTTCATATACTTCGTTTAAGTTACTTTTTAATCCAGTTGGCTTCATTTGTTTTTCCCAGTCAGCTGACGTCTAATAACCGGAACACGTATGGTGGTTAGCAACCAGGAATAACAATTTCAAGCAATTTGGTTGGCAGGTTCTCTTTTATTTTGTCGGCAATTTTAATAACGCCGTTAAACAGAACAGCTGTTGGTCTTCAGAAACTACGCGACTTTATTTCAAGCTGTGTCATCCATTCGACTGAAAGCAGAAAGGCAAACAATGGCTTTTTCCAAAATGGCGTTTTGCTTGAATCGCCGCCCTCTTACCAGTCAGTTCGGTCTGTACACTGAACCCCACAAACTGTTCGACTTTACTATTTTTAATTGCCGTGTCTTTCATGAAGAGACGAGTAATTCAATTATGACGTTAGGTTAATGTAGAGTGAATATCGACGGGATTTTAAAATCCAATTCCCCCACCTGAATAGTTAAAGCAAGATAAACGGGAAGTTGAAACAGTACCTCGGGATCCTCACTTTCTCTTCTATTTCAGACGCAAACATGCAGATCTTTGTCAAGACCCTCACCGGCAAAACCATCACCCTGGAGGTGGAGCCCAGCGACACCATTGAGAACGTCAAGGCCAAAATCCAGGATAAGGAGGGCATCCCCCCTGACCAGCAGAGGCTGATCTTTGCTGGAAAGCAGCTGGAAGATGGCCGCACCCTGTCTGACTACAATATCCAAAAAGAATCCACCCTCCACCTTGTTCTCCGTCTGAGGGGTGGCATGCAGATCTTCGTCAAGACCCTCACCGGCAAGACCATCACCCTGGAGGTTGAGCCCAGCGACACCATTGAGAACGTCAAGGCCAAGATCCAGGATAAGGAGGGCATCCCCCCTGATCAGCAGAGGCTGATCTTTGCCGGAAAGCAGCTGGAAGATGGCCGCACCCTGTCTGACTACAACATCCAGAAGGAGTCCACCCTTCACCTGGTCCTCCGTCTCAGGGGTGGCATGCAGATCTTCGTCAAGACCCTCACTGGCAAAACCATCACCCTGGAGGTGGAACCCAGCGACACCATTGAGAACGTCAAGGCCAAAATCCAGGATAAGGAGGGCATCCCCCCTGACCAGCAGAGGCTGATCTTTGCTGGCAAGCAGCTGGAGGATGGCCGCACCCTTTCTGACTACAACATCCAGAAAGAATCTACCCTCCACCTTGTTCTCCGTCTGAGGGGTGGCCAGTAAATGAGTTCAATATTTTATTCACTTAACATGACAAATGCACCTAATAAAGTGAGATCACAATAAATGGATTTTGTTTGGCTTATTTCCTGTAGTTTGAGTGCATTACATCAAAGTAATTGGTGAGTAAATTGCCAGATTTAAAATATTCCTTTGCCCTCGGTAGTTTCTATAAATCTTAGCAGATTCATGTAAAAGCCACTAGATGGCACTGTATTACCATTGATGACTAATGTGTCCCTTACACACTGGTCAGGCTATTCTGTTCAGACTGCAATACCAGCCTTTTGAATGGGGGACTTTAAAGTGATTTGCAAAGTTTCCAAATTTCCAGGTGATGACTCTTATCCAAACCAATCTATATGCATAAAGTCTTGAATTCTAGTGCCACCTGAGATTTATTACTGCCAGACTTTTAAAATAACAGGGATAATGTGTGTCCAGAAGCCTTGGTCTTCAATGTGACCTTTGTCTTCCTGAGACAACTGTCAGCCATTAGAGCTGACAAAGCCATTAAATGAAAGGGCCCCAAAAATGAACCTGTTATACCCTGATCTAAGCGGGTGATTTGACCTCGGCAAACCCCACTTTGGTCATTATCCAGAAATGACTGGTCAACCTTTCCAGTGTACATCCTGGTACATCTAGTAAAGGTGGTATTTATAAAAATAATGAAAAACTAATGCCTTCATTAATTCTGTTCTCCAGTTGGAAATCTAGTTGTTCTAGGTCAAAAAAAGACTTGAATTCAATTAAGCCCTTTAAAAGACAAGCAAAACCCTTTGTACATTTTTTTTCATAGTTCTGTAAAGGATATATCATAAATGCTTGGCTATTCTAGCAGCTCTTTGTGGCACAACCTGTTACTAGAGCAATTACATATTGATACTTCACTTTCCTTTAAATTAAATATTCTAAAGAAAATTGTGTGATATTAAAGCTTAGTGAATGATCTGAAATGTGTTGATGTAAAAAAAAATGTGTAATGGGGCAATTCTATTTCACTGAAATTTGAAACAGTCCAATATTTATAGCAGATTTGCCCAATACTTTAGATCAACTTGCAAGCATAGTGGTTGGGCTTTTGAACATACTAGCCTCCTCGACCCCCAATGCAAATTAAAACAAACAAAATACAATACAGGCATTGGATATTATTTATATAATAAGTCTACATTCATATCTGAGTTTCTCTTTGTGACATGACTAACAAAAACATGGATTTTTGTCCCCAAGACATTCTATGGAAGCCCGTTTCCACCACTCTGGTAAAAAGTAAAGATAGCGTAAATAAAGATAGTATCTCAAAAATAATGAGATACTATTTTAATTCCTGAAATAATGAGATACTATCTCATTATTTTTTTTAGACATTATTTCATTATAATGAGATCATTTATTTTATTTTTTAACGGAGTGGCAGAAACGGGCTTCCATAACATTCTAAGTTTTTCTCTGTTTTTTTCTTCATTTTTTTTTAGCTGAACTGTAAAGCTAGTACTGAGTGAGTGAAAGGAATTTCTCAGCACATCACACTGACTTCTGGGATGCGAGCAGCAGCGTTTCTCAGCCCCTGTCTGTCTATCGCATGACAAGTGACCCAGCTGTGGCATATCAGCGGGGATAGAGAGAGGCTGGGACCTGCTGCTGTCTCATTTCGGTTTTTGGCGAGGCGCGACTAATGGCAGGCTGCGGGGGCTTCTTCTTCTCTCTCCTCAACTACAAGACAGAGAAATATGTCATCGCCGAAAACAGGAAAATCGGGATTTTGTTTCGGCTCTATCAGCTGGCCGTGCTCGGATACATAATCGGGTGAGGTCTGTTGCGTGAACTAAAGGCGCGGAGAGTGGATGGCAAAGTTAAAAATAGGAGAGCTTATGGGACAATTTTAAATAGCTGGTGGCTTTAAAGTTGCACATGATGATTGCTTTTTACTTTATCTGAAGCATCGCCAAGTCAGGATTGAATGTTTTTTGTCAAATCGGCAACTTTTTTCGTTATACCATAGATTTTATGCTATGATAATTTATTTGTTAATATAAGATTGGATTTACGATAAACCTAACCTCAAACTCGAAAATAGCAAGGCCTCTGGCTTTTGGAAACTGCTTTGCCTAATGGTATGCACGTCTCAGGTTCAGGCATCGTTTGTGTCGCGGTGTAACTCCCGGGACATGCATCTGCATAGACAAATCATTTCATACCACCACTGCACACAGAAAACACTGACGGCAGCCTGTTGCTCCATGCTGATGAGGACTGCAGCCTGTTGAGGCTGGAGAACGTGGTTCTAGCTTGAGGGAACTGTTCTAAAACACAGTGAGTGATGAAGATGATGTTTCAGATGGGTGTTTGTGATGAAGAAAGGGTACCAGGAGAGGGAGGAGGCAATCCAGACTTCAGTCATCACCAAGCTCAAAGGCGTGTCTTTGACCAACACCTCAGAGACCGGACCTTACCTGTGGAGTGCAGAGGATTACGTCATACCTCCGAATGTGAGTAATTTATTGTCAAATTTTTTTACATTTCAACCACAAACACCAGTGTATTTCAATGAGACTTTACATTATCATCATTTGCCAATTACTGCTGCAAGTTTGTTTTTTGAGGGGTTTGTCTTTATCTGGTGTGTACGCCTGGTCTGACAGTTTTGCTCAAGGTCAGTCAAATGAGAGGGAGAGTGTTTGCGAACATAAATCTTAAGCTAGGAACTATTAAACTCTGATTTAGGTATGGACTGGGCCACTTCTGTAAACCAAACATGCTTGAGTCCAGTCCTTTTAAAGCTATTTTCATGCAATCTATAAAACACTGGACATAAATATCTATATATAAAGACGATTGTGTGTTTTGCTTTCTTAATTATACAGTTTGTCGTTCACTAATGTTCTTTAACCAATCTGTAGGGCAGGAGTGTCAAACTCAATTTCATTTTGGGCCAAATTAAAAATATGAATGTTTTTAAAGGGCCGGTTGTGCCAGAATGTATTGATAAAAACCCATTAAATTGATAAAATATCAATAAATAGCTGCTTGTTTCAGCTTTAAATAATACTGAACATATTTTCACACTGTGCTGTCAATCCAGGATTCTGATTGTTTTTTGTTTTGTTTTTTTGCAATCAAAATCACCAATTTTGTGGTGCTAATTTAGAAATATTTGTAAGGAAGTTTTACAATATTTTGCAAATGTATGATGTTAAATGTGACTTTTTATTAATCGACCTGTCAGTCAGGGACTACAACCTGACATCAAGTAAAACCGAGGCAGCAGTCACTTAAACTCAATGTTTTTGGACAATTTTGAGAAAAAATTGCAGTAAAATCAGAAAAAATGTGGGGATCTGTTGATTTTGCGTGAATTTTCTGTGAATTTTGCAGATTTGTGAAAACTGGAGGGACTTGTTGATGTCATTAGGAGTCTTCAGGGCCACATAAAAAGCTTTTGCGGGCCAAATTTGGCCCCCCGGGCGACACACGCGTGTCGTAGGGCCTTCAGAAAACAGCTGCATTTATACTGAGATAAAATTACACAAAGGTGAACTCTACTGACTATTTAGGTGACATGTGAAGGTTAGTTACACTATTTAGGGGCATCTGAGTAAAGGGGGCTGAATAAAAATGCACACATACATTTTGTTACTAAATGTTGAAACCCGTGTCATTTTCCTTCTACTTTACTGTGTGGTACGAAATAATTTTAGTTTGTCATGTAATAAAATATATTGAAGTTAGTGGTTGCAACTTGAACAAACACTGTTTCAAAACGTTCCTTCTGTCTGCTGCTAATGAGAAGTGTCTTTTTTGCCATGTGGCGTTAGCCTCAATGTCTGTCTCAGCAGACTGAACAGTATTGAACAATGTAATGTGCTTAACCTTTTACTTTCTTCTTCTAAACTTAATTGAATTCTGCAGGGTGAGCAGGTGTTTTTTGTAGTAACAAATTACATAGAGACCCCGAATCAGAGGCTGGGCTTCTGTGCTGAGGTGAGTACCTATACTGAGATTTTTTTTTTCAAATGTTGCTATTCCATTGTGAAAACCTTTACTGCTCCTCCTGCAGAGTGTTAAGGTACCAGATGGACGATGTCAAAGCGACGACGACTGCCCTGAGGGGGAAAGTGTCACAGCTGGACATGGTAGGAGTCATTCATTGGGGAGTTTCTTAGAAACTTCAGAAATACAAATCTGGAAAAGTGCCAAAAATGTTAACTTAAATAGGAAGTAGATTTTCGAGTTAAGGCAAGCTATCTTATAAAAGTGCTTGGTATTCATTAATTCATAATATTAGAAATACTGGTTCTTGTACAGTATTTGAAACCAAAATTAAGGTACCACACATACAGAATGACGGATATGTTGTTGTAAATTGTGCAAAAAAAAAAAAAAGTCAACTTTCTAAGCACCATAAAAACATCAAATGAGTTTTAAGGGTGATTTTTAAAATTTACCATGTCACAATTTTTGATGCTTCAGTAATAGAAGCATTTAGATGTAGTCTTCTTTTTAGTATTAAAAAAATGAGCCCAAACAACTATGAAAAAAGGAGCATAATTTATCCAAGGTTCCAGAAAGCAACAAGTGATAATTTAAACTAATATTTTAAAAATGTGTCAAGAAAAAAAAACTCTTCTTCAGCTGGTCAGCTGAAGTTTTAATTCCAGCTTGGAAAGTCTGCGCTTCACAACCAGTCGAGGGTTTAGCTATGCAGTGCATATTAAACATTAGTGAATATTTCAACAATAAACTACTCACCACTTCATCAAAGCATTAGTACACGCAGTACTGCAAAAAATTTTGACTTGGGAGTATAATCCTTCCAAGAGTGAAATATTGCCATCAGCTTGTTTTGCTACTTTACAGAGATTAAGATGTTGTCTGTTTTAGGAATAAAGACGGGCTTGTGTTTGAACAGCACAGGGACCTGTGAGATTCACGCTTGGTGTCCCATCGAATACAGCCAGAAGCCAACGTAAGAATCCTCCTCCCAATGTGTGTTAACGCTAACTCATACAAAACTGAACTAAATATTCCTCTGATATACAGCAGAGCTTAGGGCCGGGCGATG